TTACTATGTTATCAACCTGAATAATTCTTATTTTGCCTTTAGGCCACCTTTTATCCCCTTTCTTCTCTGGGTTTTTCTCATAGGATTGACTTTCTAGTTCTGTAACCACTTCTGTTTTGATCTCAATAATCCATTTGTTAATTGTGCAGCTGTGTACCATATTGTATATTGTACCAAGTTAAACATGTTTTGTTCATGATCCCTAGCATCTCTGAAAGTACACCAACTTTTCCCAATCTTTTTATATTTTTAGTTCAGACTGTACAAACTTTAGGCAAGACTAAGCCATCAATACTTTACACAATATCTGTTATCCCAAAATATTGCTTGCATCACTTATTATTTGCTAAAAGCTTCTCAGCTGCTCTAGTATCCCTTTCCTGAAAACAGATTTGACAAATAACCTTTTTAAAAAAATCTTGAACTAAAAAACACTGATTGTTGCTTAAAGTATTGTATGTGAAGCTGTGTTTGTACGCTTCATATTTTGCTTCCCAAATTTTTCAATGACTTACAACTTGTCTTTATTTCCTGCTCTTTTATCTTTAGTGCTCCTCTCTCAAAATATACAAAGATAGACAGTAGATGAAGGAAAAAGACATGTTGGAAGTAAATATTTGAAAATGTTTTTTTTATTCATATGTGGCCTACAAACACTAAAAACATTTATTTGACAGAAAAACATTGAAATTCAAAAGCCCATTTACATTTTTGTGAACTGAAAGATGTAAAGGCCTGGCATGGTGGCTCATACCTGTAATCCCAATACTGTGGGAGGCCGAGGTGAGAGGATTGTCTGAGCCCAGGGGTTCAAGACCAGACTGGGCAACATGGCAAGACCTCATCTCTACAATAAATAAAAAAAAAATCAGTCAGGTGTGGTGGCACACGCCTATAATTCAAGCTACTTGGAAGGGTGAGGTGGAAGGATCGCCTAAGCCCAGTGGGTCAAAGTTATGGTGGCTGTGAATGTGCCACTGCACTCCAGCCTGGGTGACAGAGTGAGACTCCAACACATAAAAAAACCCCAAAAATGAAAAAGTAATATTAATATAAAACTAAAATACACATAGCACAAAATGTTTAAAAGCATGTTGATTAAACATTCAAAGTATTAATGATTAGAACATATGAATCGGCATATAGATTGGCATTAAAAATTCGAATAAAAGAATGCTGAAGCCCAGGCAAAAGATGACTCTTGAACAGTACCAGGGTCATGACTAAAGATATTCAGAAGGGACAGAAAAAAAGCTTTCTTTAAGCTCTGACCTCCTCTCCAATCTCTAATCTACTTTCTAAATAAACTATCTTTCTTAATCTAAATAAAAAAGAATAAAAAAGGAAAAAAGTCTCAAAAAAAGAAATAATAGAAAATATTTTGGCATTTGAATTCATTCTCTTTAAAAACTGGTTGTTTTAAGAAGAAAGTTATTCATATCAATGATTAATTCTCATCAAGCAATGAATACAATTATTGAAAAAAATGCAATGTTCTTAAGACAATAGTGTGACTATATTTGTCCTTCAGTTTCATAGTTTATTGTGAAGAATCTTTAACTTCTTAAATTTTCATTTTTTTCAACTATAATATTGTGATGATTTCTACTATAATATAAAATTGAAGACTACTTTAAAATGTATTAGAACTAAAAACATAATATAATTAAAACTAAAAAGCACAAAAAAATCTTAACAGAAGTGTCACTATTATGAAAGTTTCAAAAGGGCTTATTAAATTTCAGGGCAAAAAATTTTATGATGAAACCATTAAAAATGGAAATGTTAACCTCAGTAACATTTTCTCTAAATCTAACATTAATGGCTACTTATATCACACTTTACCATGAAAAACACCAACTTATATTACTGCTTCTGGCAAGATGAAACAGAAGTACTTCAGATACCTACATGATTCCTGATAAGTCCAACTAAAAAGCCTGAACATTGTATATAAAACAAACATGAGCAATTCCAAATATTAAAAAAGGCAAACTGTCTAGGAAACCTCAGGACCAAAGGAATGATATGGGTTTTCTTTTTTCCTCATATACGAAGGGGACCCCCCAAAAAACAGAATTATTATTATTTTTGAAAGGCAGGCCTCTTGTAATACAGGCTTTCCCTGCTAGGTAAGTGTTCTGAGAACCCATAAGCATCTGTGTACCAGCTAGTGTTGCTGTGAGAGACTGCATTGGGTTTCAGTGAATCTTGGGTGTAAGATTCTTTCAGTGTGTTTGTCCATTTCATCATGGGTGACAACGAGTGCACATGCCCACAGCACACTGCTGATTCTCAGCAGTTTCGGATCAAAATCAGCATGACTCTGGTGCCTGACCCTTCCTATTCACCTGACCTTGCCCCAAGTGATTCCCCCACCCCATGAAAAAAGCCCCAAAGGGAAACACTGTGCTATGAGATGAAACAAAAAAACAGCAGAAGCAGTAAAAGGCATCAAAATTGATGAGCTCAAAAACTGTTTTGAGCAGTGGAAAAAGCATCTCAACAGGTATACTGCATCAAATGAAGAGTACTTTAAAGGTGATAAGTTTAAATATGTAAGAATAACTACACAATTTTTAATAAATAAATTCCGGGTTTGGGGAGTCCCCTCTCATATCCCAGAGAGTATTCTGGAGAAGGCAGCAACCTGGAAACACCAATAAATCCAGATAATAAGTCCCAAGAAAAATCTTCTCTATCTAACAGAAAAGGAGGATGGAAACCTATTAAGACAGGAAAGTTTTAGGCAGTAACTGTTCTACACAAGTCAAACACCACAGAAAAACTACAGCCCCTCTACCACCCACACCAGCAAAGACTGACTGGAAAGCCTAAACTACTATTGCTAGGATGTATTGAAATGTTCTAATCCCCATGCTGGGGCAGTGTCAGGGAAAGCTAACTAGGAATCTGGGAGTTGTAATCTTCTCTAAGCGGTAAAAAACCATGCCCCATGGTGCCAATGGAACCCATTTGAGAATCCTGGACTCCTACCCACCACTAATGGTAATAGTTCCTCTTCTTGCTGGTGTAATATCAGAGGAGGCCTGGTAGAGAGTCAGGACTTTCACCACTACTCAGGAGTAACCAGGTCATGTTATAGTGTCAGTGGAAGCCATGTTAGGAGTAGCAACAAGAATCCCTTAACTCACTAAGCCAAGGTGGTGTCAGCAAGCCCTGGAGACTCAGAAGGGGGAGTAGAGACAAGGGGTGGAGGGACAAAAATCACCTATCAGGTACAATGTGCCCAGGTGGGGTTGCTGGGTACACTTAAAGACCAGACCAAAACTATTTGTACCCCCTAAAGCTATTGAAATAAAGATAAATAAACAAACAAATAAATAAGAAATCAAGACATTCTCAGATTAAAAAAAAAAAAGAATGTGCCACCAGCAGATCTATCCTAAAAAAATTGAAAGACTGAATTTAGTTTTCTAAGGGAAAAGGAAATAGGAAAAAATCTTAGAACATCATGAAGGGAGAAATAACATAGTGATTGAAGCAAAAACATGGGTAAATACAATAGATAAAGGGGTCACAGCTAAAGGGTACAGGCTGTCATGAAACATTTCTTTCCAACATACTTTCAGCAATTTATACTCACAAAAATGGTGTATTAAAATTCAGGTGCTCCACATCTTACCAACTATAACATTAATAATTTGATAGGCTAAATATGGAATCTAATTGTGGATTTAATGATCAATCTCTTGTTAATGAGGTTGGTCATGTTTTTCCATTTTTTTGTATATCTATGTCTCAAAAAAATAAGTCTTTTTATGCCATTTACCCAATGTTTTACTGGCTTATTTGACAATTTCTTATCTCTTTCTTATCACTTATATGCATTATAAACGCCTTCTCTAGAACTGAGTCTCGTCTTCTCTTGTCATGGTATATTTTCATAATCTAGAAACTTATGACAGTCAAAAGTAAAACTATATAATCATAGAATTTGTGGGAATTTTTTTCTCTCTCAAAAAAATGCTTCTCTGACATAAATGGTCAAGTTTCTCCCCTATATTATAGTCAATATTCTTAGAAGTACATGTGTGTATTATGATGTAGAAATACAGTTTTATTTATACATTTTCTTTACTTTTTTAACTATTTTACCATTTATGCATGGTATATTTCTAGTTTTTTTTTCATTGATTTTTTTTCCAATTTTTATATCACTTATATACTGTCTTATTTATAGCTTTATAATAACCTTAATGTCTAGAAGGGCAAAAAAAAATTCTATTTATTGAGATTCTTAGTAGAGTATAAGGTAAAATCGTGGCATCTTACATAGAATATATCAAGGGAGGGTTTTATCTTCAGATTCCTAAGATGCTTTTTTATTGTGTCAAATTAGTCACAAGCAAGTTGAAACATATTTTTTATTTTCCAAACTAATGTCTTAAAGGTGAAAATCATTTTTTATTTGCTCTTAATGGCATATTCTTTTCCATTTTTGTTTTCCATTCATCTAAACAACAATGACTATAGAAGTTTACTAGAGGAACCACAATACTTTAAGAATTTACTTTCAACTTTGTATTCCAGGTTTCTTCTTTTAACTTGACTCCTGGTAATCATAAATATGGAGTCAGAGAGGTATAGAATAGTAATTATTTCTATTGTCTTTTACTCTATTTTGAGGAGTCTCTGAGGTCTAGGAATAGGCATCTTCTTTGACTATATATATAGCTCCTACTTTCTAGCCATTAATTGGGTACCAAATTGCTAGTGGAATGAGATCTGGAAGAATTCTAGGCCAGATTTAAATAGGAGTGAGTGCTTGCATTGTTTGAACATAGTCACATATCTGAACATCTTTGAATGAGGGGGTTATCTCTAGTTACTTATTAATGATTTGTATTTGTCTACTAAATTTTATACTTCCTTTTTGTTCTCTGGCAGTTCTGAGTATTGAGAGTAAACTAAGGAAATATAGTAAAAGTGTATGAAATGGCCCATCAAACACTGAAATCTAGATAATTAAGACTTACCTCTATTTCTTTTTTTAATTTTTCATGTGTCTTTTTTTCTTCCTCAAGAAAATACGTTTTTTCAATGATAGATTCTTTAACAGTTATAATTGTATCCTTTAACTTTGTAATGTCTTCCTGTATGTTTACAAAATTTGAAGTATACAAGTAAAAAAAAGAATGGTCAATATAAATCCAAGATTTTAAGTGTTTCTACAATTTAAGAAAACCAATCAAATCAAAATTTAATTTTTACAAATAGGTTAAGAATAATACTTCTACAAGAGTATAGAATAAAGAATTGCTATTTTTTTTAATTTTTAATTTTAAATAGGTGGGATACTATTCAGGGTTAAGTATACAAATGTTCATTATGCAGGAACCCTTGCTATTAAGACAAACAAACCTTAGATTTGAAAACATAGAACTAAAAACCAAATGAAAGACATAAAGGAAAGTGATAGTTACAATGGCAATTGCCCAAAAAGAGTGTAAAGGATACTTCTTAATTTTCTTTTTTTTGAAAGCAGGATTTATTGAGAGGACAGAAAAGCTCCCACAGTAGGAGGGAACCCAAAGGGGTTGCCCTACTTCTTAATTTTCTAGCAAGAAATCATCAATATTTCAAGTTTGTATCTTCTACTGTCTTCAGACAATAGTAAGAGAACTAGAGAGAGGTTTAAGGTTCAATTATTAATTTATATTGTTCGCATAATAACATTAAGCATACTAATTGATTTGAATTGGTCTGGATCATTAGCATAGAAGTTAAAGCTTCAACATTGTGAATTACACTTTCTGCAACAAATGGATTAATTGCTCATGGTGATTTTGTTTGACCATATATTTTTACAAATTCACAGGGAATTTGTGGATGCTTCCTTATGCATTTCACATTTGGAAAAGTTGCTGCATAACACAGGTACTTATCTAAGTTTTTAAAAATTGTGAAGTTTTTGAGTGTAGTAGAACAGTTATGGATATTTTATCAACTTAATGATAAATTTATTATTTAATATATGTATCTGCAAAGAAAGGAATTTGAAAAGTTTTGCTAATTAATAATTCAAACCTGTACTTGTGTTATTCGGTTCCCTCCTGGATTTTGGAGATCTTGCATAAGTTCCTCTTTCATCATCCTTAGTTTTTTAACAAGATCTCGTTTTTCATGGAGTTCAGTCATAAATGACCATTTGCTCTCTACTTCTCCCAAACTATCTTTATGTGCTTTTATTTTTGCATAATATGCATTATATTTTATCATGTGTTCTTCAAAATCTTCTTGGGCTGCTTCTATGTCAAATTTAAGCTTTACATTTTCTGAATTTAAGGATTTGATTTGAGTTTCCAGGCTATCACACTGAAGTTTGGTATTCTCTATGGCAGTATCTTGCTGATACATTTGTCTTTCTGTTTCTTTAGTTTCTGCAGAGACAGCTGCTATTTGTTTTCTAAGCTCATGAAGTTCATTCTGTAACATATTTTAACATTATCATTATTAATTCATCAAATCAAACAGGGAGGAAAGTCACTGTTTTGATCTACAATACATGCAGAAAAATCACTTAACATAAAATAATTCATCATACATAAAAAAACTGAAGCATAATAGAAGGAGACATGCAATAAAGTAACACAAATATTTTATAATGTCAAAAGGATCTCAGAGATATATATTTCCTCTTTTAATGTTCATCTAATTCTAATTATTAAAATTCCACCATTTTATCTTAACATTTTGTATGCAAAAAATACTTTATAATAATTTATGGCATCAGAAGCACACACTCAAGAAATGCAATATGATAAAAATGATAAAGCCTTGATTTAAGAATCAAAAGATCTAGGTTCCATCACCCTTCTCACTATTTACTAGCTTGCATGTTCATGCATAACAAACTTAATTACCCCATTCAAACTTTACATTCTTCATTTGTAAAATGAGTATAAAAATATTTATTTTCCCTTTCTGGGGCATTTGGCATTACTAACTGGTACCTCCTTCTTAAAGCCTAGTTTTCACACTACTACTCTTTTCTGGTTCTCCTTAGATACACCTGAGCAGTTCTTCTCAATCTCAACAGTTCTCTCAAATATTGGTCTTCCTCAGAGTTCAGAGATTATCATTTCCTCTTTTCACTCTATACATACTCCTTGGTTAATCTCATCCATATTCACATCTTGAGCTGTGTATCTCTGATGATTCACAGAATGTAAGTGGCTGGTGAGTTCTACACACAGCTGCCAGTCATCATCTTCAATTCATCACATCTGAAAATTAAACTAATCTTTTCCCCCACCTCAGCCAATTCCCTCTTGTATCAATTATCTATTGCTAGAACCTCAAAACCTCAGTGGCATACAACAATACTGTATGTGTTTATTTCTGACATAATTGAGAGCAGCTGGGTTTGGCCATATGATTCTGATCTCGGTTGGATTTGCTTAAATGTCTGAGGGTTAGCTAGTTGTAAGATGATTGAGGTTGGTTTTAACTGGATTAATAGGGGTGGCTTTGCTTTGCTTTACGTGTATCTTTTCCTTCAGTGAGTCAGCCCAGGCACATCCTCACGGTAATAATAGATGCAGAAGACTGCAAGTTCAATTGTGTAAGAGATTTTTAAAGTTTTTGTTCATTTACTATAAGGCTACAATAATCAAAACAGCCTGGTATTGGTACAAGAATAGATATATGGACCAATGGAACAGAACAGAGATTCCGGAAAACCTCAATTTCTCAACCAACTCATCTTTGACAAAGCCTCCACCAACAACCACCAGGGAGAGGAGAACCTATTCAGTAAATGGTGCTGGGAAAACTGGCTGACCATATGCAGAAGATTAAAACAAGACCACAATCTATCACCATACATAAAAATCAAGTCTAAATAGATCAAAGACCTAAATGTAGAATCTCAAACTATAAGAATCTTAGAAAATGCAGGAGACACCCTTACGGAAATTGGAACTGGCAACCAATTCCTAATCAAAACCCCAAGTGCCCATGCCCTAAGAGATAAGATAGACAAGTGGGACCTCATCAACTGAAAATCTTCTGCAAAGCAAAAGAAACCATCAAGAGGGTGGAGAGACAACCCCCAGAATGGAAAAAATATTTGCCAACTGTATATCTGACAAAGGCCTAACATCCAGGATCTACACGGAACTCAAACATGCCAAAAGGAAAAAAAAACAACAACAAATAGCCCCATTAAAACACAGGCAAAAGACAGACACACATAGACACTTCTCAAAAGAGAACATATGGGAAGCCAACAGACACATGAAAAAGTGCTCATCCTCACTAATCATCAGAGAAATGTAAATCAAAATCACATTGAGATACCACCTAACCCCAGTAAGAATGGTCATCATTAATAAAATAAACAACAACAGATGCTGGCGAGGATGTGGGGAAAAAGGAACATTGCTGGTGGGAATACAAACTAGTGCAACCTCTTTGGAAAACAGTGTGGTGATTTCTAAAAGAACTAGATATTAGCCTTCCATATGACCCAGTAATCCCCCTACTGGGAATTTGCCCAGAGGAACTCAAATCATTCTACAAAAAAGATACCTGCACACACATGTTTATTGCAGCACTATTCACAATAGCAAATACATGGAACCAACTGTGCTGCCCACTGAAATTAGACTGGATTAAAAAAATGTGGTACATACACACAATGGAATATTAAGCAGTTATAAACAAGCACAAACATGAACTTTGCAGCAACATGGGTGGATTTAGAGTCTATCATACTCAGTGATCTATCACAGAGACAAAGAACAGAGTAGCACATGTTCTCACTCATAAGCAGATCCTGAGCATTTGCCATAATACTGTAAGAAAGGGATTGGCAGTAGCAGTATACTACTGGGATGCAGGGTGGGGCCCACAACATCAATAAGAGTATCAACTCAAACCAGGCAAAGTGGGGACCAAATGGCGGCCTAAACTTTACCTATACGATGACGACTTGTATACCTAATCCTGAATTGTACCCCACATCTTTAAAATAAAAAAATAAAAAAGCTTTTGTTTGAATCACATCTGCTAACACTCTAGCTAGTCATGGGGTGGAGTGTGTCAATCCATAATGGGAAGACATTGTAATGATATAGCAAAAAGTGGGGATATACAGAGGGATAAAAATATGGGACGAAAAATACAATTACCACACCCCTATATTCCCACACTTAGTTCATCGTACCACCTTGAGAGTCATCCTTAATTCCCGCCCTTCTCTTTATTATCTCTAACTATTCCTCAAATTCTATAGAGCCTCCCACCAATCTAGCTCTGTAGGCCATTCTTCAACATCCTTTTTTCTATCTAGCATGGTCATCTTCTTTAAAAAAATGTATGTTAGGAGGGAGAGACTGTGTTAAACAGGTAACCCCCGTCTATCTTTTTCCTGGCAGAGACAAGGAAAGTACATTTACTGAAAAATATAACATGCTGATGAACCTCAATTTTTATCTCCAGCTCTGATATTTCAAATATCCACTTGACATTTCTATTTGGATGTTTAACAACTATCTCAATTATATATATTCAGAAAACAAACTAACATTGAATTTATACACCCAACACGTTCCTCCCCCAGTCTTTCTGATTTCAGTAATCCGTACCACTTTCCATCTAGATACTCAAAAGCCTAGAAATCATCCTTGATTCTTCCCTTTCCCTTACTCCTCACCACCTATTTCTTCAAATCCTGATGGCGCCTTCAAAATACAATCCCAATTCGCTTCTGATCAATTGTTATAGCGTGACCTAACTTCTGTCTCCCTGTTTCTATTCCTTTCCACTACCTTAGCTAGGTTCCATATATCAGACACAAGAATCATTTCAAAACATAAATCATATTATGCTATTGTTATGACCGAGTAAGTGAGAAGAAGTCACACCAGTAAGCTGAGTCTAATTAATTATGAGTTCCTTTTTTTTTTGAGTTAGAGTCTCACTCTGTCACCCAGACTGGAGTGCAGTGGCTGCTCCCGGCCACCACAGCCTCGACCTGCTGGGCTCCGGCAATCCTTCTGCCTCAGCCTTCCAAGTTCTTTATTAACACACGGGTCAAGAGCAGGCAAACACTAGAAAAACTCTTGACGAACTAGTGCAGTTTGTGACAAGTTTTTATAGGTAAAATTTGCAGTATTGGCTACAGAGCAACTTAGTGACCATAGCAACCATTAACTAACAACTTGGCAACCAAAATGGGAACTTGATTGTTAGGGAGTTTTGATTAATTTTATGTCCCAGGTATAGCCAGTGACTGGAAAGTCCTTGGAGTTCTGCCAACAAGATATAGTTTAAGGCAGTTACATACAGACAAGGTAGAAGAATTATTATACAATGGAGTTACCTTGGTTAGGTCATAAGAACAAAATATAAAAATGTAACAATGGGGCTTTGCAAAGCATAACATTTGATTTCAGTTAACAAAGCATATAATTACATGGAACTTATGGCTAAGGAGTCTTGTAACAGTCAGCAGGAAACGGTCAGCACGACCTGCCCAAAGGGGACAAAGCTGGGGGTCTGTGGTCATGGGAATGTTACAGTAATCACACGTAGGCATTGAGGAGTGATTCTTAGCTCAGGCAGGTAACTAAGATGGAAGTTTTAAACAAAATGGAGCAAGTTGGTTGATACTATTATTTTGCTAGAAATTTGATTTTATTAACTGATTTAGCTCATTTTACAATTCCCCTGCTCAACATCCTTCAGTGGTTTTCCATGGCATTAATAAAAAATTCAAATTCTTCAAAAGTGACTTTCAAGGCCATACATACCCCATCCCTATCTACTTTACTATCCTTCCCATCTACCACTCTCCCCTCTCCCTGCCTCCTTTCTGGTGATTAAATATACGTAGTTCCTTCTTACCTAAGGGTATTTTAAATGTTGGTCTTTCTACATTAAAATTATCTTCTCCCAGTCATTTCCTGTTGGGTCTTTGTCTTTTACAATTCACTTTTATCATTATTCCTCTGAACAGTCCTCCTTGAATCAAAATATAAATTAATCACTCACCCTCCTCCCACAGTTACTCTGTACACATTACCATAGTGTTTTTCCTTTGTAACATATCAGTCTTTGAAATTATCTTTATTTATTTTTTGTTTGCCTCCTGACTAGAAAGTAAGCTCTGTGGCTGTAGGAAACTCATCTGTCTTCATTAGTACCATCTTCCCAGAGCTTAAAACAGTAACTAACACAAAGTAGGTGCTCAATAAATACTTATTAAATGAGTGAATGTGTGATGCACAACCAATGGTCAGGAAAGGGACACATGGCCTGCCAGTTACATCAGGCTATCAACTATTTTGGTTGATACAGAGAGAAATGACATTTCCACTATTTGGTCATTATCTCCTCTTTCCTGGACTGATGGAATTTGACTGTTAACTTTGCTTATTGCCTTTCTCCTTTAATACATTTCTACCATCACATTAGAATTT